AGGAGCAGAGGTAATGGGGGAGGTAACGGTCAGGCAGAGGAAGCCCCGGGGCCAGGAAGCAGGAACGCCGGGCCCTTCCTCGAACGGCTCCCGGATCTCTCTGTCCATAGCTAACTCCTCCTCCCCTCCCCGACCCACAGAGCCATTAGAGGCCGCCCCAAACTCAGCGAGCACCAAGGCCATCTGACACCTGCAGGCGGCAACTCTTGGCAGCTTCTGCTGCTGCTGCTGACCATGGTGAAAGCAAGCTCTGGAGTGAGACCCCTCCCCCAGCAAAGCCCACCCCCTGCTCCAATGCTACCCCCTCTGGGACATTTTGCAAAAGCAAGGAAGTGGCACCTTCCAGGTGTTCCCAATGGTGGGGAGACCATGCCCAGAGCCTCAGAGCAAAGCCTTCTCTTGCCAGAGGCCCAGGCAAAAGCAGAGATGGCTCAGCACCTCCCTCCCCAGGACGGGGACCCCAGAGTGGCCCAAGAGAGCCCCTATTCTCAGTCCTGCCTTTGCTCACCTGGAAGGGCCAGCTCTGTTGCAGAGGACAAGCTCCCTCCTAATCGATCGAGGATTCCTTTCCAAGCACCACCTTCCCTGGTTCACCTTGTTTTGTGCTGACTTCCACCAAACCCCCCTCCCCCCCCAGGCCAAATGCTAGCGAACCCAGGTTGGGGGTTCTGGCTTTCTTCTCTTGGCCCTTCCTTTCTGGGGAGCCAAGAAGGGAGAACCCCCAAACGCGGAGGCTGCTTCCTTCTTGAGGATGGCAGGAGGAGCCCAAGAAATTAAGGGGCTCTGCAGACTCCACTAGGCAGCTGAGTGGGAATCCTGCCACCTGCTCCTGGCAACCAACAGCAGCGCAGAGTCTCCCCCCTCCCCGGTTCATCTTGTTCAGCTTTGGGGCCCCCACCCCCCAGGAAAGGTCATCTAGAGCCGGGCCCTTCATCATCAGAGCTCAAGAACCTTTGACAACTCTCCCCAGCGTTTGGGGATCTCGACCCGCCCTGGACTGGCTTGGCTGCACAATGCTGAGCCCGTCCCTCGGAGGTTGGCAAAGCCGCTTGGCGCAGGCGGCATATCTGGGTCTAAGAGGAGAGGAGAGGGCTGGGTGTAACCAGGGACTCACGTCATGGCTTGGTAGATGGACTCGATCCCGTAGCGCATGGCGAACTCGTCCACAATCTCCTGGCCGGTCTCCTCAAAGTAAACCTTCCAGGCGTCGTCCCCTTTGGCATCGGGGACCTTCACCACGCCGTTTCCTTGGACGTCCGTCAGGTGGTGGAAGAGGTTCTGGAAGGGAAACCCGCAGCCGCCCCCAAGAGGGTTTCAGGAAAGGACCCACCCAAGGCGGGGGGGGGGGTAGCAGACCTAGACCCAGATTCAGGTGCTGGAAGGAATACCTGGAGAGAACGCAAAGGTTGCCCCCTCCCTTCCCTCAGCCCAGCCCAGGTGTGGGTTCTGCTCTCTACCCCTCTGCGGTTCTCAGCTTTCTGAGGCTGCTGCCACTTCTAGGTTGTCACTAGAGCCACTCGTGTGGCTTTGCCAGCCATTGACTAACCCCCTACTTTTCGGATGTCCCCATGACACCCCTGCTGACTGGAAGCTCTGTGAGCTCCTAGCTGGTCCGGCTCCAGGGCGAGTTTCATCTGCTGCTGAGCTCTGGCTATTAAACAGATGCATGGGGGGAGGAGGCAAGGATGACAACGGAGAGTTTTCAGCCAGACTTTCTTTCAATACACAAAACTGGCCTCCGCTGGACGCTGCCCAGCTTTCTCTCTGAACTTCAGAACATGAGGGGTCCTTGGTGGTGTCTGAGCTTGGGGCTTCTCATTAGCCAAACTAAGTAAAATCATCAGTGCTAGTCTGAGGATGGTGACCACTAGCACTGATGATGTTACCTACCGTGATTTGGGTCATGAAACGCCTGCTAGAAAACCACCAAGCTCAGAGACCACCAAGGACCCCTCATTTCAACCCTGAGCTGCAGATACTCTCTTTCATCAGTACCTTCAGAACATCTCTCTCTTTCCTTCCTCCGCCAGAACCTCCCCTTCCTTATTGCTTACCACGGGTGTGAGGCTACTTCTGTAAACCTCTAAAGCAGACACGTCAAACATAAGGCCCAGGGGCCAGATGCGGCCCGCGAAGTGGTTTCATGGGGCCCGCGAAGCCATCCTGGAAACAGTGAGGGAACAGCTCCCGCTGCCTTGGCCCTGGCCCAGGCCGGCCGGGAGCCAATGTACAATTTTGTGGTGGCCATCTATGCCGAAACGCATTCAGTCTTAGCTCCACAAGGCCGTCTGGAAACAGCGAGGAACCAGCCCCTGCCACGTCGGCCCCGTCCCCTGGGTGCATGCTGGGGAGGGGTCACCCTTTGTGAGGAATGAAGAAATGGACCATGCCTTGGCACTTGCCCTGGTCCCACCCCCTTCTGCCAGAGACCCTCAGATCTGTCCCACTCCTGCCCAGGCCCCCACAGGCACCCTTGATGTGAACAATGTAGATTTGGCCACACCCACCCAGTAAGCCACACCCACTCCATCCATGCCCACCCAGTAGGCTGCACCCACCCTGGCCACACACCCCCCAGGGCAACAGCAATGTTGATGCGGCCCTCAATGAAATTGAGTTTGACACCCCTGCTCTAAAGCGGCGTCTCTGTACTTTAAAACTGGCCAGCCTCCGTGGCTTTTTTTCTGGGAAGGATAAGCCACGACTGGTTGAAGGGCCAAACCCACCAGAGTGGAGTTCGCATTAAGAGAACCTCCCAGGCTGCTCAGCCAACTCTTCCCTCACTGAAGTTGCAATGAGCCAAGGGGGACGAAGCCAGGGCCCCCGAATTCTCTAAAGTGGAGGGAGCATCTTCAGCAAAGGGGGTTCACCGTGTGGGCCTCCTCTTGGGCAGCAGAGCTCAGCCGGCCGCCATGCCTACCTCGTGAAGGCAGGTGTACTGGACGTGATAAGGAGCCACCTTCTCTTCGCCTTTGATCTCCACGCTGATCTGCAGTCGAATGGCGCCTGAGACGGCAGATTTATCCGTCCTTTTTTCTGGAAGAAAGAGCCCCACGTTCTCATCCCTCCCTGCCAGCCGGGGGTCTCCAGCAGCCAAGAGTGATGGAAGGCAGACCGGCCGCCCACGCAGCCACTCTCTCCCCCTTTCAAGGGACCAGGCTGGCTCTGCAGACCTGTTGGCAGCCAGTGGCACATGGGCTCCAGGCTGCCCAGTGGCAAAAGAGGGGCAGGAAGATGTGGCCAGAAGGGGTGTTGTGCCCCTGTGGCCTCGTTGCTATGAGGCTTGAGTGGGGTCCACAGAAGTGGCAGCTCCACCACCACCACTCACTCCTCCAGCTTGCTTTCGGAGGACTGGGACAGGACGATGTGCATGGCAGACCCCCTGGTCCATCTGCACCTGCTGAGGGGACAGACCCCATCTCTTCCCATCCAGAGACCCCAAGGAGGCCAGGAGAGGGGCCTGGATGGGCCACCACAATAGCGGTCTGAAGGAGACTGCAGGCCCTCTTTCCTCTCCAAAAGAAAAGGGGGAGAGCTCCACTCCCATTTCCCAAGCAGGGGGTCTCCGGATGAGGCAGAGCTGCTGGCCTGTCTGAAGGACACCGAGTTGGAGAGAGGCACTTCCATGGCTGGAATTCAGCAGCCCTGCCCAAAATGTTAAACTCGCTCCTCATTTTCCAAGGCAGTTTTTCCCCAGCACACATTTTTTTTCATCAAGACCCTCAACCGAAGTGCTTCTGGAGGGCTCCTGAGCAGTGATATGCAGATGGCACTGAGGCCCGAAAGGGTTTTGAAAAAGACAGGGATTCCAAGCTTGCCAGCCTCTTTCCTCCACCTCCTTACTTTGGCTACAGATCTGGTTTGCAAGGGGGCCTTTCTGGGGCCACATTCTCTGAGGCCCGAGTAGTATTCACTTTTCTTTTCTGAATGAGACCCTCCCCTTTCTTCTCCTTGAAAACTTTCTGCTGCCTCAGCCCAGCCAAGCTGCTTTTCTGACTCCTGCCAGCAGGTTTCCCCCCCTCCCAGGTCTGGGACAGGAGTTGTTTTTTTTTGTCGAGTTGTGCGGAGGGTGGGCAACTTCACCCTCCCAGCACTGGACTCTGCCTCCTCCGACGCCCCAAACTCCCCTTCTGTCCTTCTCAGATTGTTGTTGTTGTTAGTTGCGAAGTCGTGTCCGACCCATCACGACCCCATGGACAACGTTCCTCCAGGCCTTCCTGTCCTCTACCATCTTCTGGAGTCCATTTAAGCTCAGGCCTACTGCTTCCGTGACTCCCTCCAGCCACCTCATTCTCTGTCGTCCCCTTCTTCTCTTGCCCTCCATCTTTCCCAGCATGAGGCCCTTCTCCAGTGAGTCCTTCCTTCTCCTTAGGTGGCCAAAGTATTTGAATTTCAACTTCAGGACCTGGCCTTCTAAAGAGCAGTCAGGGTTAATCTCCTCTAGGACTGACCGGTTTGATCGCCTTGCAGTCCAGGGGACTCGCAGGAGTCTTCTCCAGCACTAGAGTTCAAAGGCCTCCATTCTTTGGCGCTCAGCCTTTCGTATGGTCCAACTTTCACACCCATAGATTGCAACTGGGAAAACCATGGCCTTGACTATACGCACTTTTGTTGGCTAGGCCACCTCAATTTCCTCCAGGCTGCCTCCCTGGAAGCACCTCTGCCCTCCCCAGACCCCACCATCCCACGGGATTCCCACAGTCCTCTTCTGCCAAGCTTTCGACTCCCGCCCCCTCCCCGAAACTCCTGCGGACAGGAGGGACTCACCCAGGTTGTACCAGACGTCCATCTCTCCGCTCAGGGTCCGGACTTCAATGATGGTCTGCCCCAAAAAGTCATCTGACTCCCGCTTGAGCCGCTGCTTGACCCGGGACTTGATGTCATCGTCTTCATCCCAGACCCGCACTTTGATCCGGTCAGAGGAGTTATGGCACTCGCTGCAAAGGCCAAAGGGGTGGGGGTGGGAGAGAGCAAGGTCTGTGCTCTTTTCTGCCCAGGTCCCAAGGCAGCCACAGGCAGGGAGGCAACGTACACCCCCCCATCACAGCCCCCAAGCAATCCAGGCCCCTCCAGGCTCAGTGGGCTGCCTCTTCTCGGGTCTTGGAACCCCACTTTTTGGGCAAGGCAGCTGAGAGTGGGAGGGGGGCAGGTTGCAAAGGCCCCGGGCTGTGCTTGGAGGGCCCCAAGCAGTGGGGAATAACAGCTACCAACTGGGAAGGGCGAAGTTTTCCAAAGTGTAAGACTTCACAATTCAACATAGAGAAAAGTAGAGTCTTACACTTAGGCGAGAAAAACCAAAAGTACAAGTACAGATTAGGTGAAACTTGGCTCAATGGCAGTAATTGTGAGAGGGACCTTGGAGTCCTAATGTACAATCACTTAAATTTGAGCCAGCAGTATACGGCAGCTGGCAGAAAAGTCAGTGCCATCCTAGGCTGCATTAACAGAGGGACTAAATCAGGATCACATGAGATACTAATACAGCTCTATAAAGTCGTAGTAAGGCCACACCTGGAATACTGTGTCCAGTTTTGGTTGTCATGATAGAAAAAAAAATGTTGTTATGCCCTCAATACCCTGATTTTCCATCTCTTGTTTAGATTTTAAATTCCCTTCAGAGTTTAGAATATCTTTATATGTTCACATTTTCTCAGGACTGACTAAATGTGGATGTACAAATGCTTCCATTGTTGAGAGCCATCTTGGAATTTTCAAGTATATTTTACATTTTATTTTTTCCCCATGTTAGTAATAATGCATTTCTAATATAGTGGTTTTGAAAATGTTTATGAATTTTATTTTTCCCATACCATCAAAAAGCGTGCCAACCGAGTTGTAAGTCATGTCCCTCCAAGTACCATAATCTTTTATTTCTAAGAGTTATCCATTCTTTTACCCATGTTAATACTGATTGCTTGATAATATAAAACCCATTCTGGCAAGCAAAAACCTCCATTTCCCTTAGCTTCTTGTAACATTTTCAATTCAATATTTACAAATGCAAATGAGATATGACAAAGATGTTAAACTGCACGGATTTTATAAAGAGCGGACCTTGTGTCATGGTTCCGATAGATGAAACCCTTCAAAAGAACTTCGAGGCATTGTTTTCCTTAAAGAATTTTTTATTCGGGAAACAAAGTATCGGCACTACATACTGAACCCAAAAACTAAATTCCCTTCCCCCTGATACAAAGTAACAAAGTGCAATTCCCACCCCCAATAAATTATCATAAATCACATTCCCCAATTAGCTTAAAGTGCGGGCTTTCTCCTTAGCTCCACAGCCCACCAAAACATTATCAGCTTATCCTTGGGTTCCCACAGCAGCGTTATTATTATGGCTAGCTGAGTTTACATCCCACTCACACACCCCTGCACCTGATTTCTAAAAGTAAGAAAAAGCATGTTAAAGGAATAGAGAAAATGGCTGCATTTGCATCAGTTATCAAAGTGGGAACATCCAATGTTAGCAGCGTTGACACCTTGTTTGATCAGATATTATTAACCTCTGATGAGAAACTAATTAAAAAATGTATAACTTTTAATTGAATTTGAAAATGGAAAATGAAGAAGTAAAAGAAACAATGATAACATGGGCAAAGAATTTTGGATACAATATAGATATAGAGAAATGGCAAAACTTGTGGCAAAGAAATTATAAATTGACAATGTCAACCTCTTACAAAGAAAACGTATATAAAATGTTTTACAGATAGCACTTGCCAGCAGCAAGACTAGCAAAAATGTTTAAAAATATGTCAAATAGATGTTGGAAATGTAATCACAAGTCAGGTGCCTATTATCATGTAGGGTAGACATGTGTTAAAGCAAAGAGATATTGGACAAAAATACATACTTGGCTAGAAAAGATGTTGGGAAAGCATGTAGATTTTAAACCTGAACTTTTTAGATTAGGTATAATGCCAGGAAAGCTTGACAAACAAAGTATATACTTGATTTTACATGTGGTAGAGAATCATTTTCACACAATATTGGAAAAATGAAGAAATACCATCAGAGGAAGAAATAATTAAAAAAAAATACTATTGTGTGGAAATGGGCAGACTTACTTTGAGGTTGAAAGAAAAAGAAGAAACAGAATACTTTCAAACTTGGCACTTATTTTATCAAGGACTGGAGAAAAGAATAAGGGATTAGGAATTCAATTTGTATTAGTGAATGATAAACTCAGACAACATGTTTGTTGAATAAGTACTTTTGAATTGTATTAAAAAATCAATAAAAACTTTAAAAAAAGAAAAATGTTGAGACTCTGGATCTAGAAAGAGTGCAAAGAACAGCAACAAAGATGATTGGGGGCTTGAAGGCTGAAACCTATGAAGAATGGTTGCAAGAACTGGGCATGGCTAGTCTAGTGAAGAAAAGAACCAGGGGTGACATGATAGCAGTCTTCCAGTATTTGAGGGGCTGCCACAAAGAAGAGGGGGTCAACTTATTTTCCAAAGCACCCGAAGGCCAGACAAGGAACAATGGGTGGAAACTGATCAAGGAGATTGAACCTAGAAGTAAGTAAAAACTTTCTGACGGTGAGAACAATCAACCAGTGGAACAGAAGTTGCCTTCAGAAGTTGTGGGAGCTTCATCACTGGAAGCTTTCAAGAAGAGACTGGACTGCCATCTGTCAGAAATGGGATAGAGTCTCCTGCTTGAGCAGGGGGTTGGACTAGATGACCTACAAGGTCCCTTCCAACTTTGTTCTTCTGTTATTTTTGGTTACCTCACCTCTGTAGGGTCCCAAGGTCCTTGGGCAACTCTTTCTCATCAAACCCTGGGGGGGGGGGGCGGTTGGGCTGACGTCACTCATGGAGCTTCAGGGGCTGAAGGCCTCCCAGCTCCTGGACCTGGACCTAAACTTGGTGGCTGCTTCTGCATGACCTTAGCACAGTGGTTCTCAACCTTTTTAATGCCGCGACCCCCAACCTGTCGTAAGCCGAGGACTAAACCGGTCGTAAGTCAAGGACTACCCAACCGGTCGTAAGTCGAGGACTTTCCCTGCCCGGGAGCGCCGCGCATGCGTGGTTCCGCCCCCTGCGCCAGCCGAGGCGTAGCTGGCAAGCGGCAGAGATGGAGCAGGCCGACCACCAGCTGGCCCAGCTCAAGGGAGGTAAGGCACCTGCCGGAAAAGGGGAAAAAAATGGCGGACAGCCTTGCTTGGCGACCCCCGTGAACTGGTCGATCGACCCCAAATGGGGTCGCGACCCATAGGTTGAGAACCGCTGTCTTAGCAGAAACTTGGAGAAGGTGGAAGAGAAAACCTCATGGCTGGGCGTTAGTCCAAATAAAAAATGAGCCCCTGGGAGAGCTCTGCCCTTGTGTGGCTGCTTCCTGGGATCCACCTGGAGAGAAAGCCACAGCCTGGTGCTTCCTATGTGGGAGACACTCTCCGTGCCTCCCTGGGGCCCGAGGGAGGCTGGCTGCTTCCAAAGTGAGAGGCGGAGAGGCCAGGTGGAAGCCGGCTGCTTTGTGGCCACGCAGCAGGGAGGCCATGTCTCAGCGGCGGCCCTCGCTGGCTTTTTAATGAAGGCGCTGCCTGTTGCCAAGCAACCCAAATAACACGAGGAAGAAAGTCAGAAAGTGGGTCATGCACAATGTGCTGGGCCTTGTCAATCAGAGCGGTGCCCAAACAAGGGGCGCCTCCCCCATGCTGCCCACCAGCCCTGCCCTGCCTTCCCCCTGCCAGCCTTGCAGCTCAGGAGGCCCCATCCGGCTCCTCCGAGACCCTGGCCCAGGTAGGCCTCTGGCCCCCCCCCAGACTCCTGCGGCTTTTCTGGAACATTCTCTCCATTCGGCCTTCCGGCCCTGCTCCTCCTGGCCACCTGGCACTTGTGGCCCCAATTCGGCCATTTTATGCTTAAAACATATTTAAAAGATGGGAAGGGGGGGGCAACCTGAGCCCACAGACTCACAAGGCCGCCAGACTGCCACCGTTTCTGACAGGAATGATTCTGACAGGAATGAAGTGGTTTTAGTCTGCTTGAAGGGCGGCTCGAAGATTTCCCCAATTGCTTCAGCACAGGTAGTCCTCGACTTACGACCACAACTGAGCCCAAAATTTCTGTTGTTCAGCGAGACATCTGTTAAGTGAGCTTTGCCCCCTTTTACCACTTTCCTTGCCTCAGTTGTTAAGTGAATCACTGCAGTTGATAGGTTAGTAACCCGGTTGTTAAACGGATTTAGGTTCCCCATTGGCTTTGCTTCTCAGAAGGTCACAAAAGGGGATCGCACGACCCCCGGGGTACCGCAACCGTCGTAAATACTGTATGAGCCAGCTGGCAAGCATCTGAATTTTGATCACGCGACCATGGGGATGCTGCAAAGGTCGTAAGTGTGAAAAATGGTCATAAGTCACTTTTTCCAGTGCTGTTGTAACTTTTAATGGTCACTAAACAAACTGTTGCAAGTCGAGGACTGCCTGTGTGTGACTGCATAGCCCAACCCTCTCCTCTTCAACAGGGACTCCCCAGCCCCCAGGATGTGTCCCCGCCAGCCTGGCTACCCAAGAGCAGCCCTGACCTCTAGGCTGATCCTGGATGAGGGAGTCGGCCATGCAGACTGTTTAAATAAATACATTTGGGGGAAGGACATCCACCTGCCAAGCCGAGCTCTGGGATGTTTGTGTGTGTGTGTGTGTGTGTGTGCTAGCAAAATGGAAGAGAGACCCCCTCCTGTCCGCCGTTTAGTTTCACTGCTGCAGACCTGGGAGAGGAACGGCTGTGATGGGAAGATTCTGGAAGGTCTTCCAGCCCTCTTAATCCCTTGTGAAGAATTCAGGCCCTCCTGCCGACATTAATCCCAGCCGAGGAGGACAGGAGGGAGGCTTCTCTGAAGCAGATAATCGATGTTGGCGCACAATCACACCCCGCAGGCCAACTGGATTGTTATCTACACTGGAGACCTCGGGAAATCTTTGCTG